AATAGGAAAAAGATCCTTGCTCAGATGAAGAAGACTGAAGGGAGACTTAAACCCTAAAACCTTGGATGACATACGGTTGATTAGATTGGTTGCAGTGAGAACAACATCACCCCAAAATTTTGTAGGGACATGCGAGGAAAATACAATACTTCTTGCAACTTCAACAATATGCCTATTTTTTCTTTCAGCAACTCCATTTTGTTCAGGGGTCCTAACACAGGAGCTTTGGTGAATAACCCCCAAATCAGTGAGATAGCAGGTCAGGTTTTTCTCAAAATATTTTTTTGCATTGTCGGATCTGAAAATTTTAATTCTGGTAGCAAACTGGGTTAGGACAAATTCATTGAATTGCCTCACAAGTTTGGGAACTTCATCATGGGACTTCATCAAATATATCCAAGTGAATTGAGAAAAGTCATCAGTGAACAAGATAAAATATTTGTAGCCACCCATAGAAGGTAAGTGGTAAGGCCCCCACACATCAGAGTGCACAATATGAAAAGGAGAAGATCTTTTATTACTCAAAGGATAACTGCTTCTACAATGTTTTGACAATTCACATGACTCACAATGAAGACTGGATAGACTAATTCCCTTAAACAGTTCTAGGAATAAATGACTTAACGCAGAAAAAGAAAGATGACCCAAACGAAAATGACATAACATGACTCGACTAGTGGACTCTGTAGATGTAGACCCAAAAGCAGTTTTTCCAGGTTGTTCATGGCTCTGTCCAGGAGTGTCCAACAGATATATTCCATTCCCCTCATGGCCACTCCCAATCACTTTCTGAGACTCCAGATCCTGAAAAATATAGTAGGAAGGAAAGAAGGTTACACAACAGTTCAATGACTTAGTTAGGCTACTTACAGATAACAAATTTGTATTTAGCTTGGGTACATGAAGAGCAAAAGGAAGTACCAAGGAATCTGTAGCCTTGATGGTTCCCTTGCCGGAGATAGGGGCAAGAGAGCCGTCGACTAGGGTGATTTTTTCACGGATAGGAAGTAAATCATAAGAAACAAACAAAGTGGAAAGGCTGGTCATATGATCAGAAGCACCAGAATCAATAATCCAAGGGTTCCTACAATTACCTGAAATAGTTGCATGATTGGCAGAAGCCCATATACCTGAATGAGCAAATGCAGAAGAGGTTGAATTTCTTGGAGGGTTGGAAGAAGAGGCCACATCCTCCCAAACTTCTCATGTTCTGCCTTCATAGCTGCTAACTGCTCATTACCAGTCATCTCTTCAGTTTGGTATTTGCCACTATTTGGACCAACAACAATATTATCATACTTCTTTTGAAACCGAAGAGGAAGAAGCTCAGGATGCAATTTCCAACACTTGTCTTTAGTGTGTTTTGGCTTCTTACAGTACTCACAAATAATTTCTTTCTTCCCTGAGCTACTTGGAGTCCCTGCAACTCCCTTGGGTTTCACTCCCATATTAGCAAAGTGATCATTTAGACTAGTCCCTTGGACCTAGACAAGTCTCCTACTTTCTTCACTACTTACCAAGGCATAGGCTTGAGACAGTGAAACACTATCCTTGGATAAAATATTTTGCTTTGTGATGTCATACTCTGGATTCAGCCCTGTCAAAAACTCAAACACCTTGTTTCTCTCAGCAAGTTTCCTGTAGGTCTCAGCATCATTAGTGGTGTCCCAGGCTACAACTTCTATCAAATCAATTTCTTGCCATGAAGACTTCAGTATTGAGAAATACACAGCTAATGGTTTCTCTCCTTATCTCAAATTCTTCACATCACTTCTCAGCTTGTAAACCCTGACCACATTTAATTTCTGGGAATAGGTTTCAACAACACTATCCCAAATTTCCTTTTCTGAATTCATCCAAATAGTGTTGACTAATCTGTGGTTGCATTGAGTTCACAAGCCATCCAATAACAGTATAATTTTCTTGCATCCATTTTTCATATGATGGATCATCTTCCAAAGGAGCCTTCTTGCTTTCGGAGATAAAACCCCATTCGCCTCTACTGCAGATATAAATTTTTACTGATTGTGACCAAGCCAGATAATTAGTTCCATCCAACTTGACTATGGTCACAACTAGTAAAGAGTCTACAGAGGCTCCCGGAACCTGTAACAACATGCTTGTTTTCAACTTCTGAAGGGCTCATCTTCTTAAATACTTCGAAAATAACTTTTAACAACTTTGAATAACAACAAATGAAGACAGAACAAAAATTGTGCTGTGAAGCAACCTCTATGCAGCTGTACCAGCTACTTGTGTCACACCCGAAAGCCGGGAGAAACAGAGAAATCTCAACCGCTCCTTGTAGATTTCACAAAACACCAGTCCACTTGATTCGATCTTCAAGGTGAAGGATGAGAAGTGAAGGGATGAGAGATCCATCGTATGGACGCCCAAATCTTGCGGAATAAAGGGGCGAATTTCAAAAATTTTTCTCTCTTTCAACTGGAATCGCATTCCTTATTTAGAAAATCATATTTTCAAGGATCAATCTTGAACCATAAACTGAACCAGATCTGAACCAAAAGGAGTAGGAGAGGATTATACCTGATACAGAGAAAAAGTATCTCCCAACGAAGGTGTTCACGCCCAAGGAAGGATCCAAAGACTGCTCCCACTGAAGATGGCATAGTGCAGGATGGAGCAGAATC